CAGCTGAGGTGGTTCGGGCATCTGACAAGGATGCCCCCTGGGCGCCTCCTGGGTGAGGTGTTCCAGGCATGTCCCACCGGGAGACAGTTGGTGTCATACAACCAGTGTTGGGAAGGTTACTTTTATAATGTATTCCACTACAGATTACAGATTACATTACCCAAAATGTATTTTGTAATGTATTCCGTTATGTTACTCAGTGAGAGTAACGTATTCTGAATACTTTGGGTTACTTAATATATTATCATGCTTTTTACAACTACATGATTGTACTATTGCTGTGATTTATTACTATCACTGAAGGTTACTCGCCATACCAATACCAACTAGATATTTAAATCTTAATATAAATGAGTAACAGTAGGTGGACATTAGGTAAGGCTGCACTTTTTGCAGCGATCTCGTATAGAAAACTATTCAGCGCGTGTATAAAACAGGCTCCGAACCGTAGTAAAGGGACCTCTGGCTAATACGTCGGTTCGCGTCAGGCTCGTAGCCGAAAACTAGCTTTACTTTGTTGTCTGGGTCAACTTTGATATGCGGGCTGCAAGTAGAGGTGACATGGGCCGCGAGATTGAGACACGGTCATTAGAGGCTCTTAATGCATGTTTTGTTTGGGTGTCCACCAGCGTGGAATTACCATAAATAAAGAGGGCATAGCCTAACATATGAAACAGGAAAAGACCGCCATGCAATCCCTTTGTTTCAACAAAGTAACTGTATTCTGAATACCACCCTTTTAAACGGTAAGTGTAACGGAAGACAGTTACTTTAAACACGTAACGCACATGTATTCCATTACTCCCCAACACAGCGTACAATACCAACTGTCCAAACTTTACTCTTGGCACAGTACAGTCAGACAAGTACCATTCTCCTGGCAACCACAAAACCCAGACTCATCCATTGGATTTCCAGACAAAGAAGTGTGATTTGTCACTCCAGAGAAAACTTCTCCACTGCCCTAGAGTCCAGTGGTCTCATGCTTTACACCAACTGCTTGTATTATATAATGCTTGGACGCAGCTGCTCGGCCATGGAAACACAGTCCATTATGCTCTCTATGCACTGTTCTCAAGCTAATCTGAAGGCTACATGAAGTTTAGAGGTTCTGGAGCAATTGACTCAGAAACCTGGTGACCTCTGTGCAGTATGCACCTCAGCATCCACTCTGTGGTTTTATGTGGCCTACCACTTTGTGGCTGAGTTGCTCTCATTCCCAGTCGCTTTTACTTTGTTATAATACCACTAAAAGTTGATTGTGGAATATTTAGTAGCAAGGAAATTTTATGACTGGACTTGTTACACAGGGGGCATCCTAACAGGACATCCTGGAATTAACTGAACTCCTGAGAGTAACTCATTCTTTCACTGCATGCCTACGCACTTGATTTTATACACCTGTGGCCATGGATGTGATTGGAACACCTGAATTCAATGATTTGGATGCGTGAGTGAATAGTTTTGGCAATATGTATGTATTAAGCTGATTGAACCTTTGTACTTCCAATTGCCTGCCACTAATGTTACTTCTTTTATGCTTGATCCTCTTCTGTAGCACTAGCTAGATTTCCCTTTGTTTAATTCATCACATGCTATAAGAACCTGTGATGGATACACTAACAGTTATCTGTGAAATGTCAAGAAATAACTCTTCTCAAGTGTTTTAAATTTAAAGTAACAAACATTTGAAAATGTAAGGAGTAGAAAATATGTATATTGATATACAGATATATTTTGGTTAAGATGTAGGGAGTAAAAGTAAAAGTTGTCACAAAAATAAATACTCAAGTAACGTACAGATAAACAGATCTAAAACAGAGCTAAAAATTCTACTTAACTACAACAGCATGTATATAATGCAAAGTACTTGTACTCTATTAGTTCCCAGCTCTGACTCCAACCCTACTTCTAAGAGTTTATAGTACTTTCTACAAATGAGACATTATTACAATTATTCAGGTAAAACAGACACCTAAATCGACTGCTCTGAAATCTTAGGTGTATCATAAGTCACTGGTATGGATAGTATTACCTAATTGGCTTTTAGCTTTGCATAACAATGTTGTCTTCTTAACAAATCTCAAATACAGTTTTGAAACATTTCTATTGCGTAAAAAAAATGAATCAGTTGATGATACCGTGAGAGAAAGCTGTAACCACTGAGTTTTCTCTGATTAACTACCATGGAATGATCATGTGGCTGAAGGGCAGAAGTGGGATTAGGGATTCTTGGTTGGAAAGTGGGTTGGCGATTTTGCTGAAGATTTGGAATTCTGACAGGGAGTGACCTTAATATGTATAAAGAGTGACGCAGGTGAAAGGCTTGATCCATCCATCTTGAGCAGTCGGACATGACGATAACCTGCAGAGTTAAGGGGGTTTAAGATAAGTAGAATATTGGCTATTCATATTGTGTTGATGTTGACGACACACACACACACCCACACACCCACACACTCACACACTCATATTAACCCATTCGCTGCCACACATACCTGTGCGGACACTGGGGAAAGGGAGAGTGAATTGTCCCAGGAAGTCATTTCTGGAAGTATAGTCATGATCCTCCACCAAAAAGCGGACCAGAGCCAAGTCAGGGACATGGACGGTAAAGTTAAAGGTGCAGTCCCACCGTGGATTAAAGCCTGTAATGAAGAACATAAATTCACACACTAAGTTTTGTAAATGGTAAATGGACTGGTTCTTATATAGCGCTTTTCCACTCTTCTGAGCACTCAAAGCGCTTTACACAACTTGTGCATTCACCCATTCACACAACTGACATTCACACACATTCATACTCCGATCAATGCATCGGAGAGCAATTTCGGGTTAGTATCTTGCCCAAGGATATTTGGCATGCAGACTAGGGGAAGCCGGGAATCGAACCACCAACCTTCCGATCAGTAGATGACCTGCTCTACCACCTACAGCCACCCAAAGTGATAGTGTTTCTAAGCTTTTATGCCTGGTGTAAAACTGAGCTGTCCACTTTTAATACAACCTAACATGATTCCAGAATAGAAATCACTGCATGGCTCAACAACTGTTAGTGAACACCATTCATCACTGCATTTCCAAAGTTCAAACTTTACCATGCAAAGGAAATAAAGTAAATGAAAAAAAATCATAAGATGTCAGAACATAATTGAATTTTTCATCAGATGAAAAGTGTGATACTTAGGACACTCAAGTTTAACATTAGCTGTTATACAGTCTCACACTGGTGACAATAACGGGAATAAATAAACATGTTTATTCATGTTTTCATGTGTTAGAGCCCTGATTGCAGTTCAGAAGCTGAGCTTTAAGGTGAGGAAGAGGACCACAGTTTATCCGTAGTTGCATTAACTCGCTATTAGTTTCTTTCACATTCTTACTTCTTCCATGGCTTCTTCTTCTGAGATGATAAAACATACAGTAGTTATAATTCTTAATATCTTGACACTCAAGGTGCAAAACTGAATTAAAAATTGGCTCCATGGCACACAAGCACCTATGAATTATCTTCTTCTCCACATTTAGCATATTACATACGTGGCCAGTCTCTAGCCACATACTTAGGCAGAATCGCAATTTCCATCTGACCCACTGTTTTAAACACTGCGCAACATGGTGATTTTTTACAAAAGCAGTATATGTAAATTTTATTGAGCAGAGGTGGCAAAAATACACATTGTTTACTTTAGTAGAAGTACAGATACTGGTGTTAAAAAATACTCTGGTAAAATTACTGATTCGATTTCTTTACTCAAATAAAGTGAAAAAGGATGAAATGTACTTGTAGTGGCTCAGCATGGGGGAAAGAAACACAACTCATAATAATTTCCATTGTGCGCTCCAGTAGATTTTCTTTGTATACAGGGTCTGCTCAGCTGATCTGCTGCTGCTGCTGCTGAGGTTCACTGCTCTTTGCGGATTTACACAACTTAATTCAACAAGATGTAACCCAATATTTCATAAGCTATCTTGGCTTATTTCTAACCCCTGCACTAATATATACTGTTTATAATGTCTTTATACAAGACAGTATACAGGCGGTATGAAGGTGGAATTTAATGAATGAATCTAAGCATCATCAGGTTATTGTAAATTAACACTGACCATGAACATCACAGCCACTGTGCAACAGTCCATAACAGTGCTTTACTGTAAATTCCTCACAATACTGCTAAGCTAACCTGTTTATCCTGCACTAAACTGCAGAATATGTTCATGCAGCTTTTGAATAATATAATTGTAGTGTACCTCAATTTGTTTTGCAGGAAGTTTCACAATATGAAAATCATAACTTCACATCATACACAGATCCAAGATATTATTTAAAAATTAGGGCATGCCTAAGTTTTAATTTGCAGTTTATCAAATGCCAGTTGGAAAGTACACACGGTGTAACTTCAGCGAGCAGAAACACACAAAACATATAAGCTGTGCACAAACAGTGTGTTTGCTATTATTTGTTGAGCTGATAGAGAAGTTTCATTTGAAATTACCTGAGTTATTCCCTTTTTATGTACCCCTCCTGTGTAGTGCTAGCTTGACACTAAAGTACTGAGACCACAACGGACAGACATCTGCACCAAAAACACCACTTCAGCCCACTTTCACCCCTAGTTAGTAGGGGTTTAAACTGGTTTGATGTTTGGATTTTTTGACTTTTTTATATATAAAGAGTAATAATTGTAATACCTCAAATTTGTTTTCATATTCTTATGGTCCTCATTTTTATTTTAGTTTAGATTATTTCTAGTTGCACAGGGGGAAAAGACATTATGGCCCAGTCTGTTTCCTGTAAATATTGCAGAATAGATAATAAAGTTGACTTCTTTTCTTCTAAACTTCTTTTATAAAGGTGGTTACATTTGCTGCTGATTGGCCACTACTTACTCTCTTAATTTTTCTGAAAGCAATAAAGGTGTTATTACTTTTTCATAGGTTGCCTCTGCATGTTAGCTTCATTTTTCTTAAATAAATAGTGATGTTGTACTATGTCCCAAAGAGAACCCACATGGGTACGAAATTATAACCTGTCACAATCAAACCCAGGAACCTCTTTCTGTGAGATGACAGGGCTAACAACTACACTGCCCTTAAAGCTGAAGCCATTCAACTATAAAATGATCTTTTATTGTAAAGACATATATACCATTGTTTTCAACATAATGCGTTTTCTTCTTATTGTTGTCAATAGGAGCGCCGTGGATCTCCACCCACACTTGTGGGTCCACAATGGAGCTGGGCTTATCCCATTCTGGTTTAGGCAGCTGCTGAGCTGAAATGACCTGGAATAACAACAAAGCAAGAGAGATCTTTATTTAATTAAAGTATCATTATAGATTGGAGAAGAAGAACTCACTCAAGAAATAGACAAATTTCTTTAATGGGAATCAATATTGAGGCAACTAGAGCTTTCTAAAATCGTTACAATAAGAAACATTTGGTCACCAAGCTTAAAATACTCCTAGACAGATTTAGTTTCCATCTTACCCGAACAGTGAGCATGACAGGTCTGTGGCCAGGACCTCCTCCCACATTCTCAGGATTGAAAGTACTGTCAGGCTGACACAAGAAGGCAGGTTTCAGAATGTACCCACACTCACCATTTTGCAGAAACCTGCCTTGGTTCAAATCCATCTGCTCACCAGGTGTCTGGAAGTTCAGAGCAACTGGAGAAAACAAAACATCAGTGTGAAGAGCTTGCAGGCCTCCCGAGACAATGTCCATTAGTCTACCCACTGGAGGCGCGAGTGTGGGAGAACAGTTAGTGACAGTTCTTTACTTTACTTTCTGTTTGCTTCTCTTAAAAATAGAACATATTAAAAAATGCTCTCACCAATTTGACAGCCTGCATTCCACATCTCCTGAGGGTTATAGTTGGAGGAATGGAGGCGCTGGCCTGAGGGGTAGATCCTGCTCAAGTGATGACTGTTGTGACGAACAAAATACACCCCTGAATTTAGAGAACAAGAAAAGTTCAACACATTTTGCGTTGTCGTTATGCTCTTGAATAAGGTACAGTCAAAACAGGAATTTCTCTACCCAAATTCTAAGTTTATATAAACTTCTACATCTAGATTGCAGCACACAGTTCTGTGCACAAGTCTCTATCTTTAGATTTTGCTTGCTAGGTGCCCAGGCCTAGCCACGCACACACACACACACACACACACACACACACACACACACACACACACACACACACACACACACACACACACACACAGATATCCCACGTTGATTCTGTTCTGTTGGAGAAACATTTTGACACTCATCCAAGTGACTTCTTCAGTCTCAGCTGACTGCAGGACTGCTGGCCTTTTAAACAAATAGGTTGTGAGGTCAGTTTGTCGATCATTAATATCCAAATTGTCATTACCACTGATAAACAACCACTGATCAAAGCACCATTCACAGAGAGTTGGGGAATGGCTGCAATCACAGCATTGTAAGATGGTGAAAGATGTACCCTTAGCCCCCTTACTCAATTTAGAGATGGTATTTCCCTTTTATTGTTAATGGCTTCCTTGACCACCCATTTAAACCAGTCCTGTACATCCTGTATCAGGATCTGTACATCTGTACATGCTCATCATTGAAAGAGTGGCGACCGGTCTATAAAGCAATATATATCCTTGGCCCTAATTTTTGTGTGAGGTGCATGAGGTGTTAATAGTGAGAATGACTATGTGAAAAGTAGAGTGCTATCAAAGTTGAGGGGACAGATGGGACATGAGTACAAGACTGCTGGTCAACAGTGCAAAATCTACACCTTCCCCCCAATGTCTAAGGTGCATGTAACACTGAGAGGCAGACAGTAGTGATTGTCACCCCCTCTGCAGCCCCACCACCACCCAAGGAAAAGAGACTCTGGACTATTTCAACAGTGCCCCAGAACACGGTTGCACCCAAGGCCAGCACCCACAGACTCTACCACAAAGGATAGTGTAGCTAATGCAGACGGGAGGAGGCAGACCTTTTCTCCAAACTAATTTAATCTAGATTAAATTTCTATATTGCGTAATATACAAATCATTTTTTAATTTCCAATTCATAAGGATAATTTTATTATCGATGTATGGGGCAGTAAGGACTAGATGTGTTGTATATGGTTGAATATCTAATTCACTTATATCACCTAAGATGCACAGTTTGGGTGAGGATGGGATGCACCAACTAAACCTAAATGGATAGGTCTTCAGAATATCCTCTGCCAGAACCTCTGGAAAGGCATACAAGGCCATACTAGTATTTCCTTGGCTTGCTGCCTGTACATTGGGGTTTCCCCTAGTGGACGAGAGAGTTTGTTCCCTGCGCCTTTGGGTCAGGGAACAGGTCCTGACTGTCATCTGTGCTTATGTGCCAAACGACGGTTCAGAGTACCTGGCCTTCTTGGAGTTCCTGGGCAGGGTACTTGACGGTGCTCCACCTGGGGACCCTGCTGTCCTACTGGGAGACTTCAACGCTCATGGGGCTTCAACAACAGTGAGACTTGGAGGAACGGCCTGCCGGATCTGAACTCGAGTGGTGTTTTGTTGTTGGACTTCTGTGCAAATCACAGTTTGTCCATAACGACCACCATGTTAAAATATAAAGGTTTCCATTAGTGCACGTGGCACCAGGGCACCCTAGGTCACAGGTCAATCGGTTTTGTAATCATATCTCCAGACCAACGGCCATATGTTCTGGGCACACGGGCAAAGAGAGGGTCTGAGCTGTCAACTGATCACCACCTGGTGGTGAGTTGGATTAGGTGGCGGGGGAGGACACCAGAGATGAAGGGAGACACCAGGCTGAAGAAGGATTCCTATCAGGCTTGGTTAGCATGTGGGACTATGGAAGCAGCTGGTAGGTACCAACAGGCCAAGCAGAACGCGCCTTGGGCAGTGGCTGAAGCAAAAATTAGGGTGTGCAACGAGTTCAGAGAAGGCATGGAAGAATACTTTTGGACTGTCTCGAAGAGATTCTGGCAAACCGTCAGGTGACTCAGGAGGGTCAAACGATGCTCTACCTGCACTGTGTATAGTGTTGATGGAGTCCTGCTGACTTCGGCTGAGAACATTTTTGGGTGGTGGAACGAATACTTCGAAGCCTTCCTGAATGCCACTGGCACATCTTCTGTGGAGGAAGCAGAGAGGGACGACTCACCTATCTCTGGGGGTGAGATCAATGAGGCAGTCAAACAACTTCTTTGTGGCTGTGCCCCGGGGAAGGAGCCGAGTTCCTGAAGGCTCTGAATGTAGTAGGGCTGTCTTGGTCGGCATGCTGCTACGATGTTGCATGAAGATATAACCTAATCCTGGGAGGTGCTTTGGGAGTATGGGGTGTCTGGTCCATTGCTACGGGCCATTCCATCCTTATGCAACCGTGGCAAGAGCTTGGTCCGCATAGCCAGCAATAAGTCGGACTCCTTTTCAGTGGATGATGGACTCTGCCAGGGCTGCCCTTTTGTCACAGATTCTCTTCATAATTTCAATAGACAGAATTTCTAGGCGTCGCCAAGTGGCGGAAGGCTTTCACTCAGAAGCTCATCTCTGCTTTTCACAGATGATGTGGTTCTGTTGGCTTCATCAGGTGATGGCCCAAAGTTTGCACTGGAACGGTTCACAGACGAATGTGAAGCGGAATGACAATCAGCACCTCCAAATCTGAGGCCATTGTCCTGAGGCGGAAAAGGGTAGAGTGCCCACTCCGGGTCAGGAACGAGTTCTTGCCCCAAGTGGAGGAGTTTAAGTATCTCTGGGTCTTGTTCACGAGTGATGGGAGAAGGGAGCGGGAGATCGACAGATGGATTGGTGCTGCAGCTGCAGTGATGCGGATGCTGTACCGGTCTGTCATTGTGAAAAGGGAGCTGAGGAAAAGCAAAGCCTACCCTCACCTATGGTAATGGGCTGTGAGTAGTGACCAAAAGGACGAGATCGTGGATAGAAGCAGTGGAAATAAACTTCCTCCGAATTGTGGCTGGTCACTCCCTTAGAGATAGGGTGAGAAGTACGACCACCCGAGAGGGGCTCAGAGTAGAGCCGCTGCTCCTCCACATCGAAAGGAGCCAGTTCAGGTGGTTTGGGCATCTGACAAGAATACCTCCTAGATGAGGTGTTCTGGGCATGTCCCACCAGGAGGAGGCCTTGAGGCAGACCCAGGACACGCTGGAGAGATTATATCTCTCGGTTGGCCTGAGAACGCCTTGGTGTTTCCCTAGACAAGCTGGAGGAGGTGGCTGGGGAGGGGGAGGGGGAGGTCTGGGCTTCTCTTCTTAGGCTGCTGCCTCTGTGCCCCGGTCCCGGATAAGTTGAAGAAGATGGATGGATGGAGGGCTAGATGTAAGGCCCATTTGGAACATCCTTTGACCTGTATAGTGTGCTAAGAGTTTTGTATTGTATAAGTTGTGAATTGGGGCTTTCAGTCATTTTCAGTCATTTTGAACAAACAACTTAAACATAAACAATTACAAAGAAAGAACAATACAGTATCCACATCTGAACCAAAGAGTAAAACAGTGAAATGTGGATTATTAAATATTAGGTCTCTCTCCTCCAAGTCTCTGTTAGTACATGACTTAATAA